TGTTTTATTAAATAACTAAAAAATTAAACAAGCTGTAAGTAACTGGAAAAGACGGGTTTCCTGCAATTCATCAATTGCAAAAACAATAATTTACTGTTTTTAAAATAAAAGACCAAATCTATAACAGCTTAACAGCTATAACGGTCCCGACCGAAATGTTTTTTGTGAGTATTTTGTTTTTATGTTATTTATTTGTTTTAGTCTGTTGAACGCAATTTGGGCGAAACAATTAAACGACCGAAAAACAACATAACCCGTTCTGTGTACTAAAGCGGCAGACAATACGGTTGTAACCATCGCAATTATATGTGTGTACCTATAGTCCACGGTGTGTTATTATCCGGCCGTCGAATCTTATCGCGGTCTGGAAATCTAATTATTATTGTAAAGTGTATACAATATAATAAAAAACATATTATAACCTATAATCTGTTGTAGAGGATGTACAGTACAATGATACTATTTTGTTGTACCTATACTATTGTCAATCTACCGCAAGTTCGGTGTGCTCAACGGTGGTTATTTTCGCGATTTTTTGCAATAATAACATAGTATTATACATTTAATATTATTATTACTTTAGAATAATAATTATTGTATTCTTGTACCAGTTTGCCCCGCGACTACTCTGTACCTACAGTGGTACACCGTTGGCTTTTTGATTTATATAATATTATCTATATATAATAATAACAACTATAGTATATTCAAATGGAAAACTATATATTTTTTTTTATTAACCCGGAGGGGAACTGTAATTAAAAAAAAACTATGAAACAAACAATGGATCGATGAGATCACTCGGCCTCGTTTTCAATCGGAACACACATTTTGCGGTTTCTATCGGAATGGAAATAAAATTAAACAATAATATTGTGTTTTTTAAATTTTTTTTTAATAATAATTGCACACTAGTACCCAAAGAGCTCGGACTGCGGTTGGAAAAAAAAACATTGAGATCCAAATTAAACACATTCGATTAGGAAGATTTTGTAGTGGTTACAAAAAAAAAAACAATACAAAATATGTATTGCTCGTCCGAATTAAAAATGCATATAGTCCATTACAATTTCATGGTTGGAAACTTCTCGTCTCTGCGTTAAATTACACGATACGTTTCTATGTAATTTACCGACATTAAGAATCATATTATCTTATCTCTATGTGCACTTAACCAGACGTTTGTAATTAAATCGACGGCGCAGACTGTGTGTGTGTGTAATTGTTGTTATAACAACAAAATAACGGATGGTCGTAAACAATGTACGATATATTATATTATAAACGCTATGGTGTTGCGAAGATGGAGAAAGCAGTGTATATAAACACAGACCAGGTGAAATAGATCATCACAATGTAGCTTAGCGTAGGTTAATAAATACATCCACGGCAGGGACAGTTTAAACTAGGTTAAACCGAGTAGTTAAGCCTAAGCTAAATACATCATTGGCAGTGTAGTCTGGACAAAAATAGTTTAATATTGTGTAATGTTAATATTTGTTAGCGCAGCGAGGAACAATATGACATAGGAAAACGACAGACACTTTTGATGTACATTTTCCAATAGTCATAGCTCGGTTCGGTTGTCTTGTCAATATTTCAAACGCGGTATTTTGTCGTTGCTCGTTTGACCTATATGTGTAACGGTTATAATATTTCGACCACTTTTCGAACCACTAAATCCCACCAAAGTCCGAAGACGGTTATGATTGAGAGGAAAGGTGGGTTGTAGAGGGAGATTAGGGGTGGGGTGTCACGAGTGGGTATTATTATGTAGTCGACACGTACCTTTTTCTGCTGCTGCTGCTCAGGTTTTCGCTTGGTGATATACACATTTATGATAAAAAAACACACACACAACTGCATGGAAAACAGTAATGGTAAAAAATTCGAGCGACCCGCGTGCGACCAAAAGTCACGGTCGACGCCGAATGCGCGCGGTGTGTTTTGATCGGTTTGGCCGACTACTAAACAGCAGCAGACGGGCAGGTCTCGTCGGTGGTTAGGTAAAAACAAACGGGGAAAATAATGGGGAAAAAATAATAGTAATAATAACGACGACGACGGCGACAAAAACAACAGCAGGAACACAACAACGGTGAAAATGCACTTAGGCCAGGTTAGCGCAGGTGTAAGTTCCCGTGCACCGCAGAGCGCACACGCACTAGGTAGGTACCTATACCTATGCGCCTCCTCTTGTCCGTTGACTACTTTGAGAAACCTTGTGGCAGCACACCTGTCAACACTAACCACCCGTAACCTAACCTTTTGGCGTATACAAACTGTACGTTCAAACCGACGTACAATAACAACGCCAGCACCGAAAAGTCATGTGTATACACCGACTGCCACCGACGCGGCTGATGTAGCCCATCGGGTAAAATAAAAAATTCACAAATGAGACTACACGCAGTACAACCGACGTCCGGTTAGAGCTCGGATACAACGTTGGTCTTGGAATGTCTTAGCATTGACAAAATCCACAGCCGTTTGCGATTGCAGTGGTGCAAGTGCGAGTGCTTTATGTATAAAATATCCTTTTCTGGTCAACGGCTTGACCATAGACTCTCTCTGTGAGAACAAATACAAAAAAAAACCCCCATCCGAGTACCGCCGATTCAGAGTGGGACTTCATGGCCTGTTAAGCTCGCATCATGATGATGGTACCTACTAAAAAAAATGTTTAATGTCAGATCAAACGTTAGCGGCGAGGATGATTCGTACGGTGTTTTTGTTTGGTGGTGAATCGGTTTGAAAATCTGTTCAAACAATAAGTGCCATAATATAAAAATACACACATATATTGTAAAACACGGCAAAATAATATAATGAAGCGTAGATAATAACCAATTCGGAGAATTAACGTTAAAAATCCGACCGGTCTATTATGTGAAAATGCGGTGTACAATATAAAAAAAAACAGTACTCGATATAATCAAGTATACACATAAACGGCTTCGGATTTTGGATACACCAAACAGATTTGTATGTGCGTTTCCGATGGTAATTTCCCCAAAAAATTATAATAGAAAATAACAGACAACAGACGGTTTTTTTTTTACCGACAAAGGAATAGCTACTGAATAGTTACGGTAGTTAGCGCGACGCATGGAAAAACCATCTTAAATAAATGATCAAGGCCGCGTTTGTGGGAGGTTTTTGACTCTTCGGGAAAATATCTCCGTCTCGTTAGCACGGCCATAGGTAAACTAAAATATTCCCTCGACAGGCTAACTTGGGTATTATATATATGTTAAACTAACTCATTGGTAATATCGTGGAGGTTTAAAGACAACTATCTGACACCCAGAGGGAATACAAGTCGATGAAAATGTAGTATAACTTTGATTAGCTTTAGTTAACTTGACAATCAATACATAGAATTTCTATACTTTTGAGTAGAGACGGTTCTTTTTTATTGCGAGATATTACCGCGAAACCCAATGGCTTTTACAAAAGGCAACCTGTACCGACAAATGCGCTTCTGTTTAGAACAAAACCTAAAGCTATCTGCTTCTAGTTTGGCTGTCTGACTATTAGAACCGGACTTTGATTGTACTCGGTGTTTACAAGCTGTGTTGTGTGCGTGAAGGAAATGGCGGATAGAGTCTACCTAATGCCTACAGATACACACAGATAGGTACTTCTCGCGGTCTTTGTCCGTCGGATTTGATACACGTCACACGATATTACTTTGTGCCGGCTAAGAAAAGTCCTGTAGGTCTTGGCCATCGTTAAAAAATACATACAACCGTCGGCGGAGGTATAAGAATGAGAGAGAAAAAAAAATTTAAAAAGGGGGAAAAAAACGCCGCTCACGGTATGATTCAAGGTTACGATGTGCGACAACCCGGGACGGATCTTGGCCTTTCTATAATATTATACACGACCATTAAAATAAAATAATTTATATTATTTATATTTTTTTCCACTCCGTTCTGCTGTGGAAAACACGGGATTCGTCGACCAAAATATACATTCATAAGCGTATTTCGGTTTAATTCTATTTTATTTTTTTCACCTCACCGCAACTTCCTTTTCAGCGCAGTTGGTGTCCAATTAAATTAAATAAAGCACCGTCCAGTCCCGTTTCGGATTTCACACCGAATCAACGTACCGAAAGTTTTGATAGAAAAGAGTGCTAATAAAGGCAATAACCCAACTCGAACGACAAAAGTAAATGCCGTTTGTTTAAGAGAAAGTACTAAAAAATTGTTAAAATGTTTGACGAATGTGCTAATAATAATGGCACGTTTATTTACAATATTGTAACCCACATGAGCGTATTCGACAAATGGCAATAACAATTTTAAAAATATATTATACATAACTATGGCTTTAAAAGGGTTACCCATAGACACATAATGTTCTATTATATTAATTAGAAGAAATTGTAAAATTGCATTTATTTATATGTGACGACAACATATTTCTTATTTGATTATATCTATTGTTTTACTGCCAGACTTTGTTAAAATATGTAACACTCAATTTGATTTTGTCGTTTATTTTTCACATTACTTCAAATAGTAATTTTAAATTTGGGCTTACATTGAATTGAGTGTTGAACTGCGTCTCGGGGCAACCGTCATGTGTACATGTACACATGCATTCCACTAACAAATAGTATTGATGATCAAAATAACTACAATTACTTGTAAACTTGTAAAAAATTCATTACTTTTCCAACCATATTTATTGTTGTGCGACTTTTTTATTTGACTAAAATATATATATTTATATGTATTTTTTTTTACCTGAAATGTTATGAGCTAGTTAAAAAAAAAATACCCAGAGTAGAGAGAGTCGAAGAACAAGAGAAAAAAATTTAAGTATCGCTCGAAAAAAAAGGTAAATTTTAAATGTAAAATGTGGTTAAAGCTGCTTATTGCAGTGATTTTATGGCATAATTATTGTGCGCAGTCGTTTCAATAGTGCCTAGCGCATGCAATTATCAGATAACTGCAGTTTTTGTTGTTGGTTTTCAGCGTCCAGCGGTCATGGTTCGATCGGACTGGACGCCGCCGGTGGTGTACTCGAAGCAGTACTCTGGCCAAATAACTTTCACGGTGGTCGAGGTGAACGTTGGCCGTTGTCCCGGCAAGGCGGCCGTGATGCCGGCAAAACGCGCGGCCCGGCAAACGTCCACCGAAGGAGGCAGCGGCGGCAAAAGCAAAAGCAAAAATCCGTGCTGGCGGCCGCGCGTCGAGGGCGCGTTCCCGTGCAGGCCGAACGGTGGCAACATCATGTACGATCAGCGGATCCACCGGGGCTCCAACTTCCGGTCAGTGGTGACGGTAGAGCCGCCGCCGCGGCCTAAGCGCGCCGCCAAGCCGTTCGATTGTGGAGGCGGCGACGGCGGCGGAGGGGCGCGAAAAAAGGGCTCCAGGGCCAAGGAAGTGGACAAGACGCAGCCGGTTCCGGGGCGGGCGCACGCGGACACACAGTTCGAACCGTTTCCGGCGGAACTACTGGACGTGCGGTCGTACAAAAAGGACGGCACGCAGACAGACTTCCTGAGAGAGTGCACGCCGCCACTGCCGGTGGAACAGCTGCTGGCGCTGGGGCCGGTGTCGACGGGCGTTGACGTCAGCACGCAGGTGGCCGTCTGCGACCTAGACGAGTTCGAAGCAGAAGCGTTCCCAACGTGCGAAATGCTGGTGGCCAAAACGGTGCAGTTGTCGGTCACCGAAGTGTTGTACGAGGACGAGATGGTGCAATTGCGCCGCAAACAGCAGGCCGCCGAAATGCGGCAGCTGACGGAACGGCTGCGGTTCGACTGGGAAGAGGACTGTGAGGCGAAGCGCCGAGCCGTGGCGGCCAAGACGCTGGACCGGCTTGAACGGGCGGTGGCCGCGGAGAAACTGACCCAAAAGACGGTGGGCGCGCAGGCCGTGGCCGACTGGTACGCGGGTGGCCTTTGCGACAACGCGGTCGGACAGCTGCAATCCGACAAATACTTCAGGGGACCCGACCTTCTGTCCGATTGGGTGTTGGACCAGCTGGCCAAGGACAGCCAACGGCGCGCCGACAACGAGGTCGACCTCAGGAACATGGTCAACGACGTGCTCGTCAACCGGGACAAACTGCACGGCCAAACGGCAGTCGGCACGGGCCGCGGGCCTTGCGACAACGAGGGCTCGCCGTCACCGCAGTAATGCGAGTGCATTGCGCGTTATTCGTTCGTTTAACACGTTGAACGCGATTCTAAGTTTCGAAGTCATCGTAGAAAATCAATACAACAATGTAAAATTTACTGAAGCTTTTTTTCCAATTTGTTTCAAGAAGTTACCAATCGACAGACCCAACCAAGGAAGCGTCCATGACTTGTTTCCACAAACACTAAACTTCCATAAAATACTCCATAAAATGGATTTGTGCCAGAAATATCAACAATGGAGGCAACTAATTGAGATATATAGAAAAAATAATGCATGTGTGTGGTGAACCGGAGATGGAGAATGGGTGTGCTTGGAGAGCAAGTGGTAAATAGAGTAGAGAAACTCAAGTATCAAATCTCTACGACCACTGGTCATTGAACAGTAGGTAGGGCTAGCCTAACTATGATGTATGCAAGTGACTGTTGGACACTGAATAGGTGAAAAGCAAATGGAAGTAGCTGAAATGAGAATGTTGCAACGGATTAGTGGAGTGACAGAATGAGTGTCCAAAATCATGTTTGGGAGTTGCGCCTATAGCAGGAAAAATGCGAATTGAGCATGTTGAAAAAAGGGAGCTAAGTGGAACAGTAAATCAACATAGAGACCTACAGGGTAGAGGGGATTTTTAGAGGTAAAGGGATAGAAATATTGTACTTGAGAGGTGTTTAGAATAACTGAAAACAGAGTTCGGCAAATGTACACTCTAAAGCGGTTTGTGAAAAAAACCCTGGTCATTGTGAACTCTACCGCTATAATTACCGGTAAAAGAGAAGGGGTTGAATTCAGGCAAAACGTTTCCGCTTGTGGTGATGTACATTATCATATTATTTCATTTTTTAATCGTCTAAAAAAGCACCTGCTTCCACCGTCCTACACGGTTAACGCTTACACAAGCCTGTAGGTACACCTGTTCGCTACAATTGGTCGGGTTAATCATTTTTTTTTTTTGCCCATGTTAATTTGAATATTATATAATCCGGTAGATTTCCAAAATCAAAAGCCCGAACAATACTCGAAGCAATCGAGCAAAGAGTTCATCGCCGCATTTACATAAGACCTGATCACACTTAGGGTTCAATCCAAAACCGAAACTAATTATTGTTTGTTCGCTTGAACACAATATAATGATATTATATATTAATTGTCGAGCAAATAATCAGTTTGCGGGATACCTATTATTCCCACTATCAAAATATGAGCTAGTAAATGTTGGCTTCTATGTAATTTAACGAGAAATACAATTACACTAATGTGCAGACGGCCGACTTGTCTGGCTTTGAGTGATTATTGTCTTTTGTAAAGCTCACGGCAGCTCAATCAAATCAAAAGCTTTTTGATTTCACCGCGAAGGCTTTCGGTTGGGTTATATTTTCAGAAACTATAAATCATGGGCGACGACACAAAAAAAGTGACATGGAAAAATAGCTAAAAAATGAATCATCAAATCGATTGAGGTATTTAATCTAAACCTTTAGAATTGGTCTTTTTTGTATTTTATTTTTGGCCAATACGCGACCGGTTACCAAAATACATATTTTCTCGGTCAATAATGTTCTTTAAAACTTTTAAAAATTAAAATTCAGAAATCAGGTAAAAAAATTTGGTGATACTTTAAATACTATGATGATATTATCATTGATTACTATATTTCTATATGTATGTAATTTATTACAGACATGCACATGGCGTTAGCCGAAGGTAACACATAATTTATAATCAATGACATTATTACCTATCATATATTTCAATAGTATTTAAACAACAGTCAACATGTTTACTATCATATTGTTTTTTCAAAAAAACTTGACTATAATTTTCAAAATAATGATACCTAACTTTTTAACAACATAAGTATTGTATTTGGGGGGCGTTTTTTACTGTATTACTGGACGATGGTGAGGGTGGTGTAATAAAGCAGTATTGTCATAATTATTACTATAGGTACTGGCCATACCGGTAAAAAAAAAACAAATTATATTGATCCCTTAAGCCGAAGCCCTTCTTTGCGGCTTACGTGACCCTACAAAAAAAAACAAAACGGTCACGTAAGTCGTGTTTGTGTTATGGTTATTTTTTATTATTTTTTTTACTTTGCTATCGATTAAAAACCCCGTCCAAAGGGTTGTTGTGCACGCGCCGAATTGGGGTGGATTTTTGGGCGTCGACCGGACCGCGTTTGTTGACCGACACACACTGGTGGAAAAAAAATACTGTATCGTCCATCATTATATAACCTGTCAAGACCTAAGTATGATTGCCGCACATGACGCAATGTTACTTTTGTAACCTGTGTCTTATAAAATATTATTATTATAACGACACAATAATGTTCCAACGATTGATTGTAAAACGAAAAAAAAACCCTCAACGGTCAAGTCCCTCCCAAGCAACGACAATTATTACAGTTAAGACTTTAGTCAGTTATAAAAAAAAAAAAACATCCCTTCAAACCGTCAAAGGTGAAAAAGTTGCACAATGGCCGACGGTATGGCTAAGGCCGCCCTTTTTTTTAACCGGACAAACTTCCATCCCCCACGGTATTGCGCCCGGCACAGCATCATCCCTGTACCACACCCCCAGAAGCTTTTGGTCTACACCACCCCCACAATGGCGCACTTACACTATGTATTCATACTCATACACAAAGGGTGAAATCGAATTGTCAATTTAGGGATTAAAAGGCCGGAAAAAGAGTTTTACATCAAAAAATAAATTCAAAATTACATGGTTTACAAGAAAACTTGAACTATTGTTAGGTATTACATTTGTAATTTTATTGATATAATATATGTTATTTGATTGAATAGTTATTATAAGCCATAAAATTCATACCCAGCCCATCACATAAGGTTCATAATTAATGTGTTTTACAATATTGTTTTAATTTAAGGTGGCTGTAACTTAATTGCTTATTATTTTTGGCAATAAGATATTAATTAAATACTTGATTATTATTTATCGAGTAACCGATTGATTTACTTGTTTGTTAATTATTTTTAAAAACAATTTTTTCAATTATCAACAATGGACGGGGAGAGGGGATTTTTTGAAATTATTTTTAATGTAAACCTTATACTGGCAGAACACAGTTCTTGAATAGTGAATACAAAACGCGGTTTACGGACATCCCGTTTCATATGCTATTCCTTATAGCTCGTTCTCGTTCTTGTTCACATAGAATACCTATTACTATATACTTGGTTTTTTTTTTTTTTTATACATTTTCGGTCGTGACGACACAGTCATCGCGTTTGTGAACGGACTCATCTTCACATACCCCTCACCCTTCCTCGCCCTCCCCCAAACGGTTCCACGTCCAAAATCCAGTAGACACCAGTACAGTGTGTGTGTGTGTGTGAGTTTAAATTGCTATGTGTATAAGTGTAACGATAATATAACAACAATAACAGCGTGTATAAAAAAATAATAATAATAATAACAATATTATAACGCTGGGCTCAGGTGGATGGCGGCGGCATTCCTATCTGCGCTCTATATCTCTCTCTATGGTCTACGACGTCCGACGGTCATATACAGTCATTCATAATATTTTTTTCCACGCACACCTCCCCTCTATCCCTTTCCACAACCCCTCCTCGTCCTTATGATGTCCTGTTAATGTGTGTGTGCAAGGCGAGACGGTTCCGATACAATATAATTTATATTTATATATATATATATATATATATATATATATATATATATACATATAAAATAATAATATTATATAGTATAGATACACACACATATAAAACACAAAGAGTCTTGTACACATTATATACCCATATACATACATATATATATATTGTAAGGAGTTCTGTGTTCACGATTGTTGTTTCCACGCATACTTAACGGTATATATACCCCTTCTCAGCACGGTTTTATATATATTAATATTTATAATAATAGCATAAAAATTATACTTTACAATATATAAGTCTATCAAAATTTCACATACGTAACAGCAATGTTGTCTTTGAGGGTAGGTTTAGCTTAGGTGTAGCTCTTTAAATTTAAATAGCGACCCGTATGGCAAGTCAGTTGCCAAATTTTGGATAAATGCTTCTCGAGTTAGCGTTTTAGACCCTCTAAGAAGACTTTATCCTTTAAAAATATATTTTAAGTTTGAATTGTAAAAACTATATATTTTTGATCATTCAATATAACAATATATGATTATATGTAAAAGTTTTTTTAACTAAGACAAGTGTTTAAAAAAAAACTACTGTTGCATGCAATTTTTAATACCTTGTATATATATAATATAAACCATTCAGAAAAATAATGTATAACAATTTTCTCTAAATAATTCTGCTCAAACCGAAGACCGTAAAGTAAGAATTTTAAATTATTTATAAGGTACCTAATATATATATATATATATATAACTTGGCTATTTAGCAACTCAAACGTATGAAAACGACGTTGCAGTCAGCATAGCTTATTAAACCGTTTAATAAGTAATTATCCAAAACCGATCAGTCAACATTTTCAGCAATTTATTTTGAATTTAAAAAGACAATAAAGTATGTACGTTTAAAAAAGGTTAATTTCATAGTATTTTAACACACATAACTAAGGGGTTGAGTTATATAGTTTGAAAATATATATATATTAAATTTGGGCTAACCAACAACTGCGAAAGTATGAAAAAGAACACCTAATTAAAAAAAAAAAGCCTAATATATATTTATATACTATTGACCGGTTCGTATAGTTAGTTAATCACTCTGTATAATATACTCTATACAATAGCGTGCGTTATGCGATTGAACTGCCCTCGAGGTAGGTAATTACAATACGGACAATAAAAAATTAGATACCGAAATGGAAAAGCAAAAATTAAATTTAAAAGAAAAAGTCATAAACCGGCAAAGTTCGTAGGCACGTGATTATTCTATGATTATTATTTTAAAGGCGGGTTTTTTTTTTTTAGGTGCGTGCCCAGAACGAGCACATGCCTCGTGCGTGCTCGTTGTATATTATATGTACACACA